GCGCCGCACATCCAAAACTGGATGGTAAATACGGAGGTGTCGTCCGGACTGGAGGTTGTTAAGTAACTGAGTTGTCTTGTCGCATGGGAGCAATCCGGCCACGAAACCCCTAGAAAAATCAGGAGGGGGGTTTGTCATGGCACGGTCTCATGTCGGGTAGTGGGAGAGGGTCTAAAAAAAAAGTAGTGCAATTAAAACTAATTCTTTGAAGTCCTCAAAATTTCAGCCGATTCTCTAGCTTTTCTTTTCCCTCCATCAACTCCCGGTGTGAACTTTATTTCACCAGCATCGCCCCAAATATTTGCAGTTCATTAGTCAGTCTGTTGAGTTACTGGGTCCAGTTTCATTTAACTCTTTTCTAGTATGCAGTATGTAATGGGTGTAAAACGAGATGGCTTCATTGGCAAGAAATTTCTGGTGACGGTGCTGCCTTTCAGTCCACATCATGTAGAGACACGAGTTTAGCTGCCGCCTTCTCCGCCGACGCTGCCTGTTAGCTGCAGGTGCAGGTGGGGGGACCCTCAGCTCCCAGCCAGCCTGGGCAAACTCCAATCCACCTCGACAGCGCCAAGTTTTCACCTTTTGTCTTTCTTCTTTTTTAATCCCTCTGCTTTGCAGTCCGGAAAACTTCCGTGTGTTTCAAATGCAGATACCAGAGTTGGGGCCCAGATCAGCTCTAAAGTTCTGAATGGGTGTTTAGAAGTAACGATCTATTCTTTTTTTTTTATTATCGTCGTTGTTGCTGTTGTTGTTGTTATTGTTATTGTTATTATTATTATTATTATTACTATTTAATGTTACTTTTTGCCTCGGGGTCCATTTCTTCCCAGTACTCGTCTCCCATCTTGCCACCTAGGCAGAGAAATTGCTTTGCACACGATTGCTGATGTATTGACTTGTTTTCTTTCGGCCTTCGTGCAGATGATGAGAGAATTGTCCTAGCAGTGTGACTATGGTCCTACGCCGTAGAAGTCTCTAGGCGCCTTGCAGCTGGCAGCAGAGAGAGGTTCAGGCCTTTTAAGAATGACTTACTTATAAACAAAAGCAGAAGAAACAAGGCATTGCTAATGCTTAGCAACCTCTTGTCCTAGCCTGCCTTTTTGCTTGAAGTTTTGAGTCACGTTAGCTTTAAAAGGGGTGGTTAGTTTTATAGATTTCCTTATGTTACGTTATGGCAAGCACCATTCTTAAAAGTGCCACCAAAACTTAATGACCTGGAATGTGAACATGGCTTTTTCAATAAGGATGGCAAGGAAGAAAGGGTTTTATTTGGTTCTGACACTGGTAAAACTAAGTTCCCTTCGCAACCCTTGATTTCAATGGTTTGAAGATTCAGCTTCACTAATCTAGTGCATTGTTTCCGTAAGTGTTACAAAATTCATTCTATCTTAAGTGGGGGTATAAGGAAAGCCAGTTGCTCTCTTGAGAATCACCCTTTTGTATGTGTATAAAACTATAAAATTGCACTAACTGCTATATTAAAAATAAATAAATCAAAGCCCAACATTTTTACTAAGGGTTGAAAAAAGACTGAATCCAGATGTGTAGCATTAACAGTGCTAGGCAAGAACAGAATGAATTTTTAATCTCTTCTGTCTCTGTATAGCTCAGAGATTTTCTATGTACAACACAAAGCTACAAAAAAAAAAAAGTTTTCCAGAAACCGCGCTTCAAAGTTTTGCTGTACTATAGAAGCTCATGAAGGACAACATTAAAGTCCTAATTTGCCTGCCTTATAGTCACATTTCATTGTATTAATATTTTCTTAAACTTCCAGTTGCATTGCTTTGGCTTTGGAGTTTGTTATAGGCAGTCCTGTATCCTGAGTTCTGTTCAAGTTTAAACTTATGTAAACTATTGACAGCACATGCAATGCAGTACTTATCTATATTTTGCTGTTTTAGTATGAATATGTACTCTGATGCCAATTTACAAAAATCTGTTGTAAACGCTTATTGTGTAACAGTAACCAATAGTGGCAATTATATGTCATTCTAAAAGCTGCAATACTTATACAATAAATTTTACAATACTTTGGAAAATTTGCCTTCACCTTTTGCTTTGTTACGTAAAAACAGAGTTTGCCAACACAATGTAATTTAAAAAGCTCTTCCTATTTTTCTTTGAATATTGGAAAATTAATGTTTGTGTGTTTTTTCCCCCTACTTTGTTAAGTAGCCTTCTGAATAACAGGCCAACACGTGTACTG